AAAAAAAAAAAAAAAGAAAAAAAAAAAAAAAAAGGACTTATGTGTGTGAGAGAGGATACTTTTTAAAAATCCTGTATTATGGAAAATTTTTAATTTACATAAACACTATCTAATGAATCCACATATACCTTTCACCAAAATTCAACAACAGTTTTATCTGTAACCCCTTCCTGGGCTCTGCTGCTGGCCCTTTGTGTTGTGATAAACTCTAGAAGGATGGGTCTTCCAAACAGGGTAGCTATTAGATCCTTTGTGCTCCCTCGTGCATTTGTCAGATTAAATTCCCTTATTATTTTGAAGCAAATCTAAGGCATCATGTCATTTCATTTATAAATATTTCAATGTGTGTGTATTTTTTAAATGAAAATATAACCAACATAGAGAGATTGCATTGGAGTGACTAGGAAGTCTTAAGAACCCTCCCTTCCACCTTTAACTTCTTATTATGAAAAAATTTTAAGTCTCAACAAATGTAGAGAGAAGAGTATAATGATCCTTCATTTACCCATCACCTGGTTTCAGTAGCTACCAACACATCGTCGGTTTAAAGCAAATTTCAGTTATCATGACTTCTGCTTTTAAATATTTCGTTATATATTTCTTTAAAAAAGGGGCCCAATAACACATTGTAATTAACTCAAAGACAGCTATACTAAGTTTTATTTTTTAAAAAAAGCTGAAAAATTGTGACTTGAGGACTGCAGAATTTTAAAAAATGAACTTTATGGAGGTATAGTTCCCATGCCATACAATTTACCCATTTAAAGTGTATCATTCAATGGTTTTTAGTAAATTCAGAGTTGTGCAACACCACAATCTTAGAAAATTGTCACCACCCCCAAAAGTTGTTAGAAGTTACTCACCATTCCCCTCCCCTCCAACTCCTCTATCCATAGGTACCCGCTGAGTAACGTACTTTCTGTCTCTATAGATCTGTCTATTCTGGACATTTCATATAAATGGAATCATATAATATGTGGTCTTTTACACAGATTATAGGACTGGCCTCTTTCACTTAGCATGTTTCAAGGTTCATCCACATTGTGGCAAGTATCACTACTACATTTCTTTTTGTTGCCTAATGGTATTCTATTGTATGGGTATATGGTGTTTATTTATCCACCCTGAAGTTTTAGTGGCATATGAAACTAGGTTGTTAAGTGGAAGTGCCAGCTTAAGTATAAGGTTACTTCAAACACCCACGTAGGAACACAGCAAAAGAATATCCTCATATTTCAAGCTTTGAAATGCCCATTAGACACTTTAGCCTGCTATAGCAACTAAACTGGCAAATCTTTTGACTTCAGTAAACATTTTGCTTATATATTCGATACAAGATTAGGTTCAAGGGACAAATATATTCATTTGAATAGATTATTTTGTTAAACATGGTATAGTTGAAGGATATTTGTTCATATATACCTCTGTAAGAGTTCTCACAATGAGCCTGAGATTTTTGAGGTTTCTTTCACTTGTCTGAACCTTGAAAGTATATTTTATCTATTTAAAAATACATTTAAGAATTAACAAGTCCTGTAAAGAATCTTTTTCCATACTTTACGTTCATATTTTCAGCAACTTGAAGGGAGCATTTTTTTTTTTTTTTTTTTTTTTTTTTTTTTTTTTTTTCCGTGTCCGGCAACGGATTGCAACCCTCAGTGTTGCCCCCATACCAGGCCGGGGACTGGCAACGGGATTGCAACCCTCGGCGTTGCTCCCGCGCCTCACTCAGCCAGTGAGCGGGAACCTGTTTGCATGTGGGATCCGAACCCTCGGGCGGGAGCGCCGCCGCGCTTCCCAAGCGGCGCACTATCCAGTGCGCCACCGGGCCGGCCCAGAAGGGAGCATTTTTAATGAAGTCTTTGTTTTTGAGCACTCTGTGATCATTTGTTTTCTTCCTGGTATCTGTGCTTAGTGGCTCAATATATTACTATTCCCAAAATTCATGAAGCTAAGAGATTAGCCACCTTTAAAAACAACCTGAAGTTTGACTGCAGGTGGGTGGCCAAAGGAGGATCTCAATGTTTAGGCCGTGCTGTCCTGGCTCCCAGTTTGGGGGTGTGTTCAGTTCATATTAATTAGATTCCATGGGCTTATGGGAGCCCCAGCCTACCACACTGCACTAGATTAATTAAAGAGTAGATAGAGTTGCATTGGTTTGCCTCTTCAGCTTCAAAAAACGAATTTCCTGAATTTGATGACATATGTGATCCTTGGGAACTATTTCAGGCAAGTGGTAGAGAATTGGTTATTGTTTTGTTTTTCTCTGGGAGCCCGATTATACTTTGTCATCTGTGTACACCAATGTCTGACTACTTTAAGTCGCTGATCTGAACTCATGATCCTCCCATCCTTGAGTCTTTGATTGGCAAGATTCCACTTTCTTTTAACGAGAGACACTGGTGAACTT